AAGAATTATTGAATTGATCCCTTGCCGGGATGCTTGTTGCTTTGTTGATTATATCCCTTACCGGGATGCTGAGATTATTGATATTGTTCCCTTGTCGGGTTTTAACTGCTTAATTGTTCTCCCTTGCCGGGAGTTAGCTGTTTATTTGTATTCCCTTACCGGGATTTCTATCATTATTTGTCTATTCCCTTGCCCCTTGTTTGTGATTGTTGCTTGGGTGAGGAAGAGTGATAAAGCACGAAGGGTGATGCAGTGTATTATTTGCTATTGTGAGGAAAGAGTGTAAAACACGAAGGGTGATGCTGTGTCGCACGATGTACCATTCCGTGCCGATTTTATTGATTATATGGTGAGGAAAGAGAGTAAAAGCACGAAGGGTGATGCCGTGCATATTTTATTTATATGATTGCTTTGTTAAGGATGAGAGTAAAAGCACGAAGGGTGCTGCCGTGCATTTGTTGCTTTCTGATTCTTTGTTGATATCCGAGTTATGTTGTTTGTTTCATTACTTGTTCTTATTTGATTTACTTCGAGGTTATAGATTTCCTTACCCTGTTTGCCTTGTGATTGTTGTTTGGGTGAGGAAGAGCGTAAAGTACGAAGGGTGATGTTGTGTATTGTTTTGGTGAGAACGAGAGTAAAAGCATGAAGGGTGATGCCGTGCAAATTGTTGATTTTTGATTCTTGTTGATATTCTGGCTTTGTTACTTTTTTCTGTTATTGAGGATTTCTATTTGAAACTGTTAGCTCCCCATAGCATGCTTCCCCCCCTAGTTATTTAAATTCTGTTTATTTCTTCTTATGGCATATATCTGCACAGGTTGTTTTTGGTAGGTCCTGTCTAGCCTAGTCACTACTTCGCCGGGGTTAGGCCAGGCACTTACCAGCACATGGGGTCGGTTGTGGTGATGCTATACTCTGTGCATCTTTTTTACATAGATCCAGTAGCAGCTTTTGGACCTCAGCAGTAGGATTTGATCGGGAGCTGACTTCAGTCCAGAGACACCGAGGTAGCCTTGCTGGCGTCCGCAGGCCCGGAGTCTCTCTCTGCTTATTCAGTTTGTTATCTTTTGTACCGAAACAAACAGTTTAAAATTTTCTTTCAAGCGATTGTATTTAGTAAATCTTAGAAGTTCGTGAGCATTGTGACACCAATCTTGGGTAGAGGATTATGTTAAACTTTCCGCATTTCTATTCAGTTTCTATATAAGTTAAGACTTCCGCTTTTATTTACTTGTCTCGTTTTGTTTATATTGTTGCGAATGTTATCAGAAATGTTTTAATACTTGGCTGGGCTAGCTCCATTAGTAGGCGCCATCACGACTCCCGATGGTGGGAAATCCGGGTCGTGACACAAGAAGTCAATACCATCTCGCGGTGGAAAGAAGTATTTCATAACTTTTATTGACGATAGTACTCGATATTGCTATGTTTACTTACTTAATAGTAAAGATGAAGCAATAGACGCATTCAAGCAATACAAAAATGAAGTTGAAACACAACTTAACAAGAAAATCAAAATGATAAGAAGTGATAGGGGTGGTGATTATGAATCTCCTTTTGAATAAATATGTTTAGAATATGGAATTATTCATCAAACAACGGCCCCTTACACGCCATAATCCAATAGAATTGCAGAAAGAAAGAATCGTTCATTAAAGGAGATGATGAACGCATTATTGATAAGTTCTGGTTTGCCATAGAAATTGTGGGGGGGAGTCGTTCTTACGACTAGTCGAATACTAAATCGAGTACCACATAGCAAAACACAATTCCACTACAACAAAAAAGGCTTTTAGCGACAATTATTTAGTGACAATAAATTAATTATCGCTAGTTTTTTTCCTTATAGGTCAATATTAGCGGCAATTGAATATTTGGCGAGAATAAACGTTCTTTACCGACAATTAGAAAAAAATACCACTGAAGCTTGCTTCTTTTACTATAACTCTAACAAGTTCAAGAGTGAGACTTTTTTTCACACTCCCTCTCAATTGTTTTTCATTTCTCTCCTTCATTTTTGTATTTCTTTTTTCATTTAGAACCTAAAGAAATGAAAATGAAAATCTACAGAAACTCTAACACCCAAATTCATCTCTATTTCCTGGATCAATTACTCTGGTACTTCATCAACTTCATATTCTTTCTCTTTTGACTGCAACTCGATAAACAACCATTATTTCTCCAATAAATTAATGAAGAATAGCAAAATAGTTTAGGCTTTGTTGTTGCTACATAGATAATGTGCTTCTTCTTCTTCATCGTCACTCGTTAACGGGATAGGAATCACTGGGCTCAAGGGCAGAAGTTGTTCCTCCGAGCTCAAAGGCCCTTCTAATACAATAACGACCCAGTATAATCCCACAAGTGGGGTCTGGGAAGGGTAATATGTACGCAAACCTTACAGGGGCCCTTCTAATCTCTTTATTAAATTGTAAATGCCTATTAGAGATTTTTTTCAAATGCCTATTGCAAATGTCTACTTAGATAAATTGCAAATGCCTATTAGAGATTTTTTTTTCAAATAATTTTTTGTATCAGGTGCTTTGGGACAAGAGGGGTTGCTCTGATGGTAAGCAACCTCCACTTCCAACCAAGAAGTTGTGAGTTCGAGTCTCCCCAAGAGCAAGATGGGAAGTTCTTGGAGGGAAGGATGTCGGGGGTCTATTTGGAAACAGCCTCTCTACCCCAGGGTAGAGGTAAGGCCTGCGTACACACTACCCTCCCCAGACTCCACTAAGTGGGAATATACTGGGTTGTTGTTGTTGTTGTATCACGTGCTTTGTGAATTATTGTTAATTTGAGATAATTTATTTTTATTTTATTTCATAGTCATGTTTGGAAACAGCCTCTCTATCCCAGGGTAGGGGTAAGGTCTGCGTACACACTACCCTCCCCAGACCCCACTAAGTGAGATTATACTGGGTTGTTGTTGTTGTTATTGTTAGTCATGTTCTTTTGGCTGTTGAATTCGTTGTCTCTGGAGAATAAAATTTACTCTCGGAATACTGTAGATCTTAAAAGAAAAGACAAATTTTGAGAAACTATAGCTAAAAAAGTAGTAAGAAAGAAAGCTTCAATATGTTAGTGGATTCAAAGAACTTTGGATATGTAGTTGCTTCAACTAGTCCGAAAACTTTGATTGTTGCTAACTAAATATGTAGATAAGACAAATAAATTATTTTATTTTATTCTGATAAGTACCAAACAAATCTAATATGCAAATCAGAAAGCTAGTGTTGAAACCTTAAGTAATATCTACTCTAGCTATATGAATCGGGCTACATGTTTCAATTTGCTCTTTTGTTGAATTATCTATTAAAATTACTCTCTTCAAACAAGGGGTTATTGGGTAGTTTTATATGAATTCTTCATATTAGGGGATAAAACAGATGAAAACTAAAAAGGCACCATGCTTTTACCTACAGCTTATCAAGAGATTTTTGGATAGATATACCAGCATTATATTTAATTTCTTATTACCCCTCCATAAAATAGATTAGAAACTATTACAAGTGTGGGGTCCAGCCCACATTTTAAGAAAGTTGTTTTCTTCCTTTCTTCTTCATTCTCAAAGTTGGCAGAAGTAGACAACCCACGTTTCTCATTTTTCTGTCAAAAATGACAGGCTGTAGAAGTTGAAAGGTCAAGGTTGGTAGGCATATTTTGCCTATAAAATGAGAGCTTCGGCTCTCATTCTTTCATCACAATCTCAGAGGAAAATATATCTGAGACCTAGAAAGAAAGAGTGAGGTTTCACAAACAGGGTATAAGAAAATAGTCTGTGAAGAAAATAGAGAGTGTGAGCGATATTGTAGTGAGGTGAAATATCAAAAGAGGGTTATTTCTTTTGAGTATTGTAGTGGTCTTTGTAGTATTTTTACTCGGGCCTACAAAGTGTAAATTCCTTACTATAGTGATATCAGTTGCTCCTCTCGGGGTCGTGGTTTTTCCCTTATTCAGAAGGGTTTTTCACGTAAAAATCTTGGTGTCATTGTTACTCTTTTATTCTTGTTAATTACCGTATCTCAGTGCTACATTATTATTCCGCTTTTATTACCGTGAATATTATTTTGGTAGGGGGTTTATTCCCAATAACAAGATACTAGGGAAGCTATTTGTAGTGCAGTGCAAAAGCTAAATACTAGTCTTATTTTACAAGGTTTTCATGGAACTTGGAAAGTTAAAAGATTTATTTTCTATCCATAATACCGCTGCTGCAATTGGTGGATTAGTTTCTGCTGCTGAGCGTTACTTAGTTCATCTTGAATGAGATTAGTTTTATTGTAAATTAGTCTTCTTCTTCTCTTCAAGATTTTTAAGCCTACATAATTAAGATGATGTTTCGGTGGAGAAAAATTAGTTTGTAACATCTAACTTGATAACGGCACAGAGTTCGGTGGAGATTTTCTTAACCCCACGTTGGAGGTTGGTTTTTACATTATAATATACTTAAGACACTTATTTGTTCTACTTGTTTATTACACAACAACAACAACCCAGTATAATCCCACAAATGGGGTATGGGGAGGGTAATATGTACGCAGATATTACCCCTACCCCGAAGGGTAGAGAGGCTATTTCCAGGAGACCCTCGGCTAAAAAAAAAAAAGCAACAGGAGTCGATATATTAGTACCATAAAAATGCATAATACAATAACAACAATATAAGAGATATGAAATACAGAATACGAAATACGAAATAAATGGCTGGTATAGTAAAACTAGCAGGTAAAGCCCTGCATCAATAGACGACCAATGACATTCTTAGTCTAACTCCTAACTAGCTAGTCTCACTCTATTGTGCTGTAGAAATATTCACAACTTTCCCCTAACTTACAACCTTAATGTTCGACCTCCATAATTCCCTGTCAAGGGTCATGTCCTCAGTAATCCTAAGTCGCGACATATCCTGTCTGATCACCTCTCCCCAATACTTTTTAGGTCGCCCTCTACCTCTCCGCATGCCCACTACAGCCAGTCGCTCACACCTCCTCACCGGTGCATCAGTGCTCCTCCTCTGAATGTGTCCGAACCATCTGAGTCTTACTTCCCGCATCTTGTCCTCCATGGGGACCATCTGAGTCGCTCACACTTGTTTCTTAATGTACTGATATATACTAGGTTCTCGAGGAAAATAGCGTCCATGAACGAGCTACATAAACACCATGAATGCCATTTCAAAGTAAGATTCCTTTTCTTTTTTCATATTTGAATGTATGTTTCTTATTCCCATTCTGCAACTTGCTATCTCTGCAATTTTCATGGTCGTTGTGATATTCTTATTTTTAGTCATGTTGATAGTCCGTTAAAATAGCTATTAAATCCTTGTTTTCAGTCATGTTGCTAGTATGTTAGAATATCAATGTTAACCAATTCCCACATGTTCCAAATTAATTTTAAATTTTAAATTCTTAATATGATTGTAGAGCCGATGTAATATGTTGGTGAATGTTTCTCTCTTCTTTTCTTTATCTACTTTCATTTACAATTTAATAGTGCCTTCTTTTTTATTCTATTATTCATCTCCGTCATTCTTGAGTTCGATTAGTAGTGTTTGCATAATTGAGTTTGTCCGACATTCTCCTAGAGATGTGAATAATATTTTGGGTAATTAATTTCAAATATCTATTTCTCCCACGATCATATATTCGTACATGTGTATTTTTCAGAGTTATTCTTTATTGGATATTGTCACTTTATCTTCTAGCTTCTGGGATTAATTTGCTCGGCTTTATTGGTGTATGAACGAAATATATGAGAATGTATCTTCTTATTCTAGTTATGAAGATTACGAGAATGGTCCTGTACCCGAGGTGAGAAAGATCAAACGTGCTAAAGTTGTTATTGCTTATCGTAGTCTGACTCAACAAATATCAAGTACCAAAGCGGGAAGCAGAAAAGGAGAAAGATCAAACGTGCTAAAGTTGTTATTGCTTATCGTAGTCTGACTCAACAAATATCAAGTACCAAAGCGGGAAGCAGAAAAGGAGAAAGATCAAACGTGCTAAAGTTGTTATTGCTTATCGTAGTCTGACTCAACAAATATCAAGTACCAAAGCGGGAAGCAGAAAAGGAGAAAGATCAAACGTGCTAAAGTTGTTATTGCTTATCGTAGTCTGACTCAACAAATATCAAGTACCAAAGCGGGAAGCAGAAAAGGAGAAAGATCAAACGTGCTAAAGTTGTTATTGCTTATCGTAGTCTGACTCAACAAATATCAAGTACCAAAGCGAGAAGCAGAAAGGGAGTGGACATACTTCGTCTGTAAGAAACTCAAAATTGGAGCCACGAACAACTCTGAACCTCATACAAGTGGTAAAAAGGAAATATATGGGGAAGCTGTCATTAAGGTATTTGAGGGCTTTACTCTGCTTCCAACATTTTATGTATTCGGTCAGTGTTTGTGGTTCCAATAACATCTTACTTTGCCTTGAAATTAAAAATAATTTCTATTGAAAAGGTAGGAGGTCATCAGGGGCGGTCAAACCCTAAAGCAAGTAAAGCACTTGCTTTAGGCCTCAAGAATTTTAGTGCCTCAAAATTACTACTCTATTTCTTTATACATAGTATATTATTCATATATTATTTCTTATGATTGATAAACTTATTTCTTTATTGTCATATTAATTTTTAATAACTCATTTCTTCCTCTAATTAATATAAATCAAAATAGTTTTCTGTCAATCTTATTTAACGTTTTTGCTTAATTATATTTCTCTATTCATTAGTTAGTCACGTAACTATATCTAATAATCTAACTTATTATTTTATTTTTCTCACATAAATTAGACTCTCTCCTTCCCAATTTATACGAAAGTGTTTGACTGTACAAGGAGTTTATGAAATAAAGGAAGACTTTTGAAACTTATGATCTAAAACAAATCATAAAAACTTATGCGGCTAGAAATCATCTCATTAAGGGCAAAAAGGAAAATTTGAAGTTGAATTATTACCAAATATAGAAAGGGGGCTAAATAAAAAAAGAAGTCACATAAGTTGGGACATAGGAAGTATGTTTTCTGAGTTCTCTCAGTTTAGTTGTGATACAATCAACATTACATTCATTTAATTTTTTGTACTTTATAAAATCAAATTCTCATTTTTTTCATTTCATATACTCACTTGTCTAATTTTACAAATATATATATATATATATATA